CACAGAAAGTAACTCAAAGTGGATTAAAGACTTAAATAAAAGACCAGAAACCACAAAACTCGAAGAAAACACAGGAAGAAGTTCCTTAACGTGGGTCTTTGCAGTGATTTCCTAGATACAACACTTAAAGCATAAGCAACAAAATAAAAAATAAGTGGGACTAAATCAAACTAAAAAACTGCTCAGCAAAAGAAATGATCAACAGAATAAAAAAGGCAACCTACGAATGGAAAAAAAATATTTGCAAACCATGTATATGATAAGAGGTTAATATCCAAAGTATATAAAGAAGTCATACAACTAGATAGCAAATAATAATAATATTCCAATGTGCAAGGAACCTAAATAGAAATTTTCCCAAGATATACAGATGGCCAACAGGTATATATAAAAAGGTGTTCAGCATCACTAATTGTCAAGGAAGTGCAAATCAAAATCACAGTGAGAGGGACTTCCCTGGTGGCGCAGTGGTTAAGAATCTGCTTGCCAATGCAGGGGACACAGGTTTGATCCCTGGTCCAGGAAAATCCCACATGCTGTGGAGCAACTAAGCCTGTGTGCCACAACTGCTGAGCCCACACACCACAGCTTCTGAAGCCTGTGTGCCTAGAGCCCAGGCTCCACAAGAGAAGCCACAGTACTGAGAAGCCTGCACACAACGAAGAGTAGCCCCTGCTCACTGCAACTAGAGAAAGACCCAACGCAGCCAAAAATAAAAATAAATCTATTAAAAAAAAAAACCACAATGAGATATCACATCTGTTAGAACAGTTGTCATCAAAAAGACAAGAGAAAAGTGCTGGTGAGAATGTGGAGAAAACGGGACCCTCCTGCACTGTTAGTGAGAATGTAAATTGGTGCAGCCACTATGGAGGTTCCTCAAAAAATTAAAAATAGAACTACCATATGATGCAGCAATCCCACTACAGGGTATGTATCTGAAGGAAATGAAGAGACATCTGCACCCCTATGTTCATAGTAGTAGTATTTACAATAGCCAGAACATGGAAACACCCTAAGTGTCCACTGATGGATGAACAAAGAAGTTGTGGAATATATATATATATATATATATATATACACACACACATTAGATTATTATATATATTATATATACACACAGTAGAATATTATTCAGCCTAAAATAAGAAGGAAATCCTGCCATTTGCAACAACATGGATGGACCTTGAGGGCATTATGCTAAGTGAAATAAGTCAGAGAAAGACAACTACTGTATTATTTCACTTACACGTGAAACCTTCAAAAACAAAAACAAAAAAAACTCAGAAAAAGAAATCAGATTTGTGGTTATCAGAGGAGGGGAATTGGATGAAAGTGATCAAAAGGTGCAAATTTCCAGTTGTAAGACAAATAAGTACCGGGGATGTAATGTACAGCATGATGACTGTAGCTAACACTGCTTTATGGTATATATGAAAGCTGTTAAAGAGTACATCTTAAGAGTTCTCATCACAAGGAAGAAAACCTTTTTCTTTTTATCTGTGTGAGATGACGGATGTTAACTAAACTTATTGTGGTAATCATTTCACAATATATGTAAATCAAATCATGCTGTACACCTTAAACTTATACAGTGCCATATGTCGATTATATCACAATAAAAATCGGGGGGAAAAGGTGAACAGCTAGAGCTAGGAGAGGCCAACATTCCAAATCAGTGCTGTCTGGTCCCACAGCCAAATACTGCTGAGGACTTGGTGGGGATGATCAGGGGGTTTTAAGAATAGTGGCAAATGTAAGAGCTGAATTTTACTAAGATCAATGTGTTGGAGGGCAGAGCCTGGGGCGGGAGAGAGGGGAGGGGCACCAGGATGATGGCTATATTTACCTCTAGTGCTTTTCTGATGGTGTTTATCCCATGTGCACTCCCAAACCTCTTATTGAGCACAGATGTTTCGGAGCCTCCTAAGGAAAACTGCACCAGTGTTCATGATCCATGGCTGATTAACCACTGGTGAGCCTACAGGGTGCAGAGAGCAGCAGGCCCTGTGCCTGATCTTACAATACATAACCTTCCCAAATGCTCGAAGCTCCTTGCAGTGCTTGGGGCAGCCCCTCCCTCCTGCTCTAAAGGCTGATTTCAGTCAAACTACATAATTCTTCCTTTCTTTTCCTGGAGCGTGACAAACCATGGCACCCCTTTACTAGAACATGTACCACATTTCCAAAAAGCCAAGTGTAGAGAGAAGCGAGAGTTAATAGGACAATACCGCTCTGCAGTCAGTTCTTCCACACCCCCGCTCTGTGGGCAGAGGACTTGTCAGGAAGCCTGGGTGTTGGCTGAAGCTCTAACAGCTCCGGCTTTCGGGAGGCACAGCTGCCACCTCATCGACTCTGGTATGGAGACCGAGGCTGTGTCTCATGGTCCTAGTGGGCAGTCACAGCCTCTGTTCTCCCCTTCTCAGGGAGAACGTGCACGCCTGGTTTGCTGAGAATCCGAGCACACCCAATCATCCCTTCCAGCCCGGGGTGCAGGACGCTTGTTATGGTCTAGCCTAACCTTGTTTATTCACCTCAGAACATGCTGGAGAGGACCCGATGGGAACTGCCTTACACAGAAACTCCTCTTCACCACAGCAACTTTCCAGCCCAGCCTAGCTTGTCCAGTATCCAGTTTCAACCTTTAAAATAGTCAAGTCTTGACTGGTAATAAAACTCAGACGCTTAGACAAAGCTTCATTTTCTCTGGGCTCCAGGCTCAATCTGCTCACCCCATCCTGTGCGTTTTCCAGTCAGCCTGCCTCCCTGCCGCCCCCGGGCACGTCTCCTGTGATGGCGGCCTGCATTTATGGGAGGTCATGTGCCAAGCCCCGTTCCCAACTCCAGCCCTCGGGGCCCCTGAGGTTTGCTGTCGGACACCACACACTGTCCCCGGACAGCACTTAGGGCTCCTGTGCTTCAAATGGAAGACATATATGGCCATAGAGGAATCAATAAAAGGATTTTTACTGTCACCAGACACAGGACTTGCCACAGTGTGCAGCTTCCCAGAAACCCTTTGGGAGTCGATGTCCCGGGACTCAGAATTGCACAGTGGTGTAGCCAGAGGGGGCCTGTGTAATTGCCTCCCCAGATAGGTGCACAGACTATGAGTCCACTGTTCTTGGGGGGAATGACTGAAGGCTCATTTGCTGCTATGGACACTTACTGACAGGACCTGTCAGCTGCTGACTCTTCAAAGGACAGTGTGATGGGGAGGCACTGCAGCTGGGGAGCAGCTGTGGGGCCTGACGTGGCAAACCTCGTGGGCTTGTTTGGACCCCAGGTGTCAGCTGAAATACTTCACAAAAAGTTCCTCTGGGATGGTAGCCAGTGCACGTCCTGGCAGAACGCCCCAAGGAGGGGGAGCAGGGACCCTTCCCATCTGTGGCTTCAGAGGCCGACGGTCTCAGCTGCAGGCCAGCACTGGCACGCACTGGCTCTGGAGCTTGAGGTTGATGAACCTATCTGTGCTTCAGTTTCCTCACTCGTGGAATGGGGAGAGAAACAGTAATCCCAGTATCCCTCACAGGGTGACTGAGGATTTAAATGAGTTAATACATGTAAAACTGCTTAGAACAGTGTCGGGCCCAAGTGCCTGATGAATGCAACTACCAGTATTAGTTACAGTGCTAACAACAACGTCCCCCATAACAACATTACCTTGATGCATGAGAGACCATCCAGGCAGCCTGTCCTCCAGCCTGTCCTGAGGTGCAGAGTGCGAGGTCGGCCTCCGCCTCCATTATTTCGACCACAGCAGACACTACCTTTACTGAGAATGTAAGGGAAAGGCCCCTGGACTCAAGTCAGCAAGAATTTCGAGTGCTGGGTCTGACCATCAGGACAGGTCTTTTTTCCTGAGACCATTGCTTGTCTGAAAAACAGGGACGCTGATCCCTATTGTGACGGCTTCCTGGCGATGGTTGGGAGAGCAAAGGGGTCAGGCAGGAGACGACTTTGTAAACAGCCACGCGCCTGAACAGATGTGAGGACGCACTATAGCGAAGGCTGTGCAGGTTGCCCGGCTCTGGGTTAGGAGACTTTGGCATGACAGTCCCTGAGGCCTCTCCCTGGACCTCACAAGCCGCTCACCTCTCCCTCTGCCAACAGCAGGGTTTCTTCGGCCCTTTTATCTCCTGACAGGGGCACACCTGCACTCGCAGTGATCTGCTTGCTTTGTTCCCCTGTAAAACTCCTTCTCTCCGGAGATGGAGACCACATGACCCCCACCTGGGGCCGAAGGTCTGGCCCTCCCCTGGGCGTGGTCATCACTGAAAGGCCTAATCTGGATGGAGGCCCTCGTGGGGCCTGCAGTGTGAAGGAGATTGTGAGATATGTGAAAGCTTGCAGCAAAGCACTCTTCCAATCTTCCCAGAATTACCCCCTGAGGGTGTTCACCTCAGGGTTTCGGTAAGCCTCCTCTACCACTCCCAGCTCCTACCCCACAGTCTGAGCTTGGTTGAGACTCACACAGGTTTTTGTGATAAATTTCAGTCACTTAATCCACTGTATCTAATTCCTGTGTAGTAAAGAAGGAAAATAAAATATCTTAAATGTGTAGTGCTTTAGAATTTACAGAGCACACGTTATCTCATTCTGGCAACCTGTCACATGAACAGGACGGTGCAGGCAATTGTTAAATCCCATTTTACAGAGGAGGAAACTGAGGGTCAGGGAGGCTGAGTGATTTGCTCAAGGTCAGATAACCTTTTAGAGCTTCACCTGAAACTTAGGCTTCATGGTTTTTCATTTACACCAGGCTATCCTGGGTACTTTCCTATATTTCTGGGTAAAAACACCTTCCAAACAGCTTACCCAATATAAATTACTAAGATCTACACATGTGTGACTCTCATGGGTAGGCTCAATAAAATTGGCCTTGTCATGCCAGCACATGAAATTCACTAGAAAGTATCACAGAGCACAGGGGTTATCACATCAGGGGGATTAGGACAGCCACAGAGCCAAAAAGATGCTGTGGCATCCCATCTTCCTACCTTCTCCAGGCCCGCTGGATGACCGCTGCTGCCTTGTTCTTTTTGCGAAACAGCTCTTTCCTGCTTCTTTCTCTCTGGATTATCTGCAGCCGCAGCTCTACGGGGAGAAGGTCAATATTCACACTCTGCCCAGAGAGGGGACCAGGTGCTGGATCAGTCTCCTTAGGTAGCTGAGTGTTCTCCAACAGGGCGGATGTACCCAGCTTCCTGATTCCTGACCTCAACACCTCTGTGCTCGATGGCAAATCTGAGTAGGTCCCTCCTGCGAGCTTGTCCTGCGTTACTGTGTTTCTTGGCATCCGGTGGTGGAAAGGACTCTGCCCAGCATGGATGGCCTCCCCCTTGGCACTGCCAGGCCGGCTGGACCCAGCCGGGGAGCGCCTCCCTCCTCTGAGCTCCTGGCTGTGCCTTTTCTGGGAGGCACATTTGGCCTTGGGTGCTGCATCCTGCCGCCGGCTGGGCTTCCAGTGGCTGTCCTGCTGTGGAAGGCTTGCAGCTGCCCAACTGGGGTCCTCTCCTTCCTCAGCAGGCCCAGACGCCCTGACACAGGAGAGCTGCTTCAAGGAGCCTTTCCCCTTGTCACACTGCTGCTCGCCAACTGTCTCACCTCTGGACTTCTCAACAGAGGAGGCTCCTGGACGCCTGTTTCCATCCCTGCCTTCGCTGGGGCTGAAGTGGACACAGGCAGATCGGCCTTTAGAATGTTCTCTGGATGTTTCTTGGGGAGACAAGGAAGAAGGGGAAGAATCTTTATTGTCCAAAACTTGCATAGTAGGGCAGTTCTGCTCACTGTTCACAACAACAACAACAACAACAACAAAATTCAGACTTGTCCTCTTGTATCACCATGATAGTGCTGATTACGATTAGGAAAAATTGTTTAACTTCTATTTCTAGCAACAGTAGGTTAGATAACCTGAAAGCCTTCCCCTACAAATACCTAGAAATGGGACTTCCCCAGTGGTCCAGTGGTTAAGACACTGCATTCCCAATGCAGGGGGCCCGAGTTTGATCTGTGGTCAGGGAACTAGATCCCACATGCCGCAACTAAAAGATCCCACATGCTGCCCCTAAGACCCGGTTCAGCCAAATAAATATTTTTTAAAAAAAGACCTATTCCCTGGTGGTGCAGCAGTTTAGAATCCACCTGCCAATGCAGGGGACACAGGTTCGATCCCTGGTCCAGGAAGATCCCACATACCACGGAGCAACTAAGCCCGTGCGCCACAACTACTGAGCCTGTGCTCTAGAGCCCGTGCGCCACAACTACTGAGTCCGCACGCCTAGAGCCCATGCTCTGCAACGAGAGAAGCCACTGCAATGAGAAGCCCAAGCACCGCAAGTAAGAGTAGCCCCTGCTCGCCACAACTAGAGAAAGCCCGCGTGCAGCAAGGAAGACCCAATGCAGCCAAAAATAAAATTTAAAAAAAAGATATTATAAAAAAATACCTAGAAATGCTGACTAAAATACTTATAATAAACATTACTTTAAAAGCACCATAGTGCCTTCAAGAAAATAAAAGAAATTCCCGGGGGCCAAAAACAAAGGGAAAACTGAGAACCCGAGTGATAAGCTTGTGAGCTGATCCAGAGACTGTCGGGCAAGTGGTAGCGGTGAAGTGGGGCAACGGCTGGTCTTATTAAATAACTGGCTGTTTTAACATCCAGATAAGAACAGAAAATGAGCCTTGCAGGCAGAAAGTTAACTGGAAACAGGACCCTGCATGAAGCCAGGACTCTTGAGGTGGTAGACCGTTGGGAAATGATGGTCCAGATAAAATATCTTCCCAGCACTGGAAGATGACAAGGAAATTTGTCCCAGCTTAGGTTCGGGATGGGGTAAAGAGTCATGCATGAGAATTTGAAACCAAAGTGCTGTGCCTCACATGGGTTTGGTATTCATTTATTCTCAACCCATAGGAAAAATTAATATAAAAACTAGTCTCAGGATGGTGGTATTGCAGGGTGCCTCTTAGAAGCAAACACAATATTGTTTTAGGATGGCATGACCTCAACTCAGGCTGCACAGAGGGGACCTCCTGAAAATAACTTCACAATCCCAAATTACAAAATACACAAGGAAACAATCTACCATGAGGAACAGTTAATAGAGAAAATAGGAAGATTAGATCAACAAGAATTTTAGCTAACAGAACAGTGTGTATGCACGCTCACACACACACTCATTAAACACATAAAAGAAATTTAGAATTTGAGAAAAGAATATATATATATATATATTTTAACTAACTAAATACAACATATAAAATAAAAATTTTAGTCTCAATGTGAAAAACAGTGAAGGAACTTCTGCTTCCATAATGGCAGAATTGAAGCATACTCACCAAAAAGGACAATAGAAAAGTTAAACAAACTACCTGTTTGAAGGCATCAAAGAGCTAACAAGGCAGAAAAAAAAAATACAGGGCCAAGATCCAAGAGAATCAGGCAACCAGGAGATGAGCAAGGCATTTGGGGCCACACATCCCTAGGGAAATGAGGCTCCTTGAGGTTTGGAGGACAAAACTTGAAGTCCAGATCCTGCCAAGCAGCACTGTTTTGGACTGGGACTCTGGAAGGCTATGTCTTAGGAAAAAAGGTCCACTGGCCATGGATTGACCTTGCAGGGACTGAAGCCCAGCTCTGTATCATCTCAGTTTTGGAAACTGGATTAAGGTGACCTTGGATTGTTCTTGCTCCTGAATGCCTGAGAGAAGCCAATGTAAATCCTCCCTGGAGGAATTAATATCATGCTAGGCTTCTAGTTATTTCTCTAATTTTTTATATTCAGTGATCCAGTCCTTAGTGAAAAATATACAGGGAGATGAGACAAGACAAAATTGAGAAAGGGAGGGAGGGAGAGAGAATAGACAATAAAACAGACACACATTATCTGCTTATCCAGATAATGTGTTTTCAGAAACAGACTTTAAAATAACTATTCTTAAGTGTAAAAGAGTATATAAACTATACTACTCTTCATGTAAGAAACAAGAGGATATAAGAAAATATACTTGTACCTGGGACTTCCCTGGTGGTGCAGTGGTTAAGGCTCTGTGCTCCCAATGCAGGGGGCCTGGGTTCCATCCCTGGTCCAGGAACTAGATCCCACATGCATGCCACAACTAAGAAGCCCACATGCCACAACTAAGGAGCCCGCCTGCTGCAACTAAGACCTGACTCAACCAAAAAAAAAAAAAAAAAAAAAAAAAAAAAAAAAAACAAACTGGTATGGTTTAAAAAAAAAAAAAGAATATATTTGTATCTTCTCATTTGTACAAAAGAAATATAGAAAGGATAATCTAGCACCTGAAGAGATTGGATCCCTATGGGGATGGAGTGGGAAAGGGAAAGAAAGAAGAGGGAAATGGAAACTGAGTAGTAGGATGAGGAGGGAGCAACACTTCTCTGAGTAAACCTTTCTGTATAGCTCTGACTCTTACAACCATTATAATGTTTCACACACACCAAAACAAAACAAAATTAAAAACCAATTAATTAAAACAACAAGATACCACTACACATCTACTAGAATGGTGAAAATCAAAAACACTGACAACACCAAATGCTGATGTGGGTGACAAGCCACAGGAACTCTCATTCATTGCTGGTGGAATGCAGAATTGTGCAGCCACTTTGGAAGACTGTTTGGCAGTGTCTTTTGAAACTGAGCATGTTCTTACCATACAATCCAGCAATCTTGCTCTTTGGTATTTCCCCAAACGAATTAAAACCTTATGTCCGGGCTTCCCTGGTGGCGCAGTGGTTGAGAGTCCGCCTGCCTATGCAGGGGACACGGGTTCGTGCCCCGGTCCGGGAAGATCCCACATGCTGCGGAGCGGCTAGGCCTGTGAGCCATGGCCGCTGAGCCTGCGCATCCAGAGCCTGTGCTCCACAAGGGGAGAGGCCACAGCAGTGAGAGGCCCGCGTACTGAAAAAAAAACAACAAAAAAAAACACCTTATGTCCACCCAACATCCTGCATATGGATGTTTATAGTAGCTTTATTCATAATTGTCCAAACTTGGAGCAACCAAGATGTCCTTCAGTAGGTGAACAGATAAATAAATTGTGGTACATCCAGACAATGGAATTTTATTTTTTTGGCTGTGTCGTATGGCATATGGGATCTTAGTTCCCCCACCAAGGATCGAACCCCAGCCCCCTGCAGTGGAAGCATGGAGTCTTAACCACTGGACCACCAGGGAAGTCCCGACAATGGAATATTATTCAGCAATAAAAAGAAATAAACTAAAAGAAAATGAGCTAAAAGTGAAATGTGTACCAAAAAGAAATAAGCTACCAAGCCATGCAGAATATTATTAAGTGAAATATTACTTTACTTGCATGAATATTACTAATACATATTATTAAGTGAAGGAGGCCACTCTGAAAAGGCCATATACTATATAATTCCAACTATATCACCTTCTGGAAAAAGGCAAAACTATGGAGATATTAAATGGCTCAGTGGTTACCAGGGATTTGGGGAAGAGAGTGATGCATAGGCAGAGCACAGCGGATTTTTAGGGCAGTGTGATGGTTAATTTTATGTGTCAACTTGACTAGTATAAGGGATGCCCATATAGCTGATAAAACATTATTTCTGGGTGTGTCTGTGAGGGTGTCTCTGGAAGAGATTAGCATTTGAGTTGGTAGTCTGAGTAAAGAAGATCACCCTCGCTAAGGCAGGTGGGCACTGTCCAGTCTGTTCAGGGCATAAATAGAACAAAACCATGGAGGAAGGGTGATTTTGTGCTCTTTGCTTGAGCTGGGACATCCATTTTCGCCTGCCCTTGGACACAGGTGTTCCTGTTTATCAGGCTTTTAGACTTGGACCAGGATTTATACCCGTAGCCCCTCAATTTCCAAATCTTTGGACTCAGACTCATAGAATCTGCTCTCCTGTTCTTAAGCCTTTGGACTCACTGAATCACACCAACTTTCCTGGGTCTCCAGCTTACAGATGGCAGACTGTGGGTCTTCTGAGCCTCCATAATCAAGTGAGCAAGTTTCTATACCAAATCTCCAGTTACGTCTGTCTGTCTGTCTATCTATCTATCTATTTATCTATCTATCTATCTATCTAACTGGTTCAAATTTCTCTGGAGACCCCTAATACAGGCAGTGAAACTATTCTGTATGACACAATGCAGGATACAAGTCATTATACATTTGTGAAAACCCACAGAATGTACAACACCAGGTGTGAATCCTGATGTAAATTGGACTTGGGTGATAATGATGTGTCAGTGTAGGTCATCAATTGTAGCAAACGTGCTAAGCTGGTGTAGGGTGCTGATGTTGGGGAGTATGTACGTGTGTGGGAGTAGGAGTATGTGGGAACTCTCTGTACTTTCTGCTCAGTTTTGCTGTGAACTTAAAACTGCTCTAAAAAGTAAACTCTATTAAAAAGAAGAGAAAAAAGAAAAATAATAAAGAGACAGCTAGATATCCTTAGATAGTAATAGCTAGTAATGATAAAGATAATGTGATTTAGGCATTAGTAGAGATAGATCAGTGAGAAAGAACAGAATGCTAAAAAATATTCCCATATATGAAAATAAACAATAAATATAGCATTTTGAATTTGTGGACCCAGGAGATGAGGTGCTCACAGGCCCTGGGTATGACCCCAGAGAGTGATGCTATACTCCTTCAGAAGCCATTATTCACAAGCCTACTGCCAGCGCTGCAGCTCCGGATTATTCCATGTTTA